AAAAATCTGCTACTCATACATTATGTATTCCTGGACTTTGTAACCTCAGAAAACTGACCCATTTAATAATGGCAGAAAACTAAGTCTCAAACAGACCGAATTAATGAAAGTGTAACACAGTAAGTACACAGTCAAAACCAAATTAGTCAAGCCATTCAATATATAATGGTCTTTTCTTCATTTTTACATAGACAATCAATATCAGTTAAAGTATTTTTTGTAATTTAAGCTGTTTTCTCAGCAAAATATATTTTCTTTACTTACATTGAATGTTATAGTTGAATACTTCATGAGATCTGTGTACGTGCATTTCAGTGTAACTGACATTAAAGTTCGGGGTAGTCACAGAAGTTAACAGACAAACAATTATTAATTTTCTAATAATTTTATCTATTTAATTTCTTTCTTGATGTGCTTTATATTACAATCAAATACATAAACTCAATTTTAAGTTGAAGTCTAAAGAAAAGGCACTTTTGGAAGTGATTTATTCATTGTAGCTCAGGCTAATATTGAATGGAAGCTTCAAGAATGGGCTGCCTGGTTTAGCATTAAAATACCCATCTTTATAAATATACAGCACAGGAAAACATTTGGAATCCAAAATTATGCATCCCATCTATTAAACACTCCTCATTATCAGTTTGACTCTAATATAACTAACACACTGGCTTCCTATGAGACAGAGTAGATAAGCATTGATGCACAGATGTCCAGTCATTCTCATTAAAATAAAGAAATTAAACTTTAAATGATCACAGAATTTAGAGACAATTCACACCATCTCATGCTAAAAGGTTGAGAAAAAATGTTAAGTTTTGATTTGGAAAAGTAAAAATATAGTTTCAGGATGGGGGAAAAAAAGTTATCCATACTAGTGTAGTGAAAATGGGTGCATTTAACTTTAAACAAGCTACAGTCTCTTACAGTATACAAACTTTTCTCTAAACTGTCAGGATTTTAGGTTACATTTACTCCTGCAAAGTAAATCTGAAATTTTTTGTTTAACAATAGATCCTGCTGAAAAATGTCTACTAATATGAAATACACAATATCTTTACTTAAAAGGTCCTGTCTTCATTATAATTAAGGTTATATTGATAAACTTTCAGATCATTGTTGATAGCATCAAGGAACACTACAAGTTTACAGAGGAAATGAATCCCATATATTACAAGACTGGAACAATGTATTTCAGGACTACAGTTTGAAGATCACTGGCAGATCAAAAGTTATCATATTAATAAAATCAATTACCAATGAAACACTTAAAACCAAACTCCAGGTTAAAGCTAGTCATCAGTTCCATTACTCTTTCAACTTTAAATTAAATTTATGAAGTTCACAGTATTGAAACAAGGTGTACTTAACAACATTAATGATGTATCTTTGGGAAGCATACAATGTAAAATTGTCATAGATGAGAGCTTTTATATTCCAGTATAAAGATTACTTGCCAAAGATTACTGGGAATGTGCTTACTATTCATATGACTTAGAAATTTAAAGCAGAATAAAATGAATTTACATCAGTCTTTATACATTTTCAAAGTACAGTTGCTAAATATAACGATAATTAAACAAATAAAACACTAAACAGTAATCATGGGGAGAAACTACAGCAAGAAAATACAACGAAAAGAAAAAAAAACGAAAAATCAGTAACACGAACATATTAAAAAATGTATAATTTAAATGAAGACTGCATGTTGTTCAGAGTTGGAGAGTGCTGCTTTTCTTGCTGTAGTTTCTCCCCACGATTACTGTTTAGTGTTTTATTTGTTTAATTATCGTTATATTTAGCAACTGTACTTTGAAAATGTATAAAGACTGATGTAAATTCATTTTATTCTGCTTTTGATACTGAAGATGAAATCTGATAGAATTCCGAAACGTTTATCCATGTCTCCTTTTTGTCAATAAACAATGTTGTATATTATAAGTGTCGTAATCTTGTTTATGATTATTTGTATATTCATTCAGCA